ATGGAGTCTTGCTCTTTTGCCAGGCTGGAGTGCATTGGCACGATCTTTGCTCACTACAACCTCCACCTCCCAGGTTCAAGCAATTCTCCTGCCTCAGCCTTCCGAGCAGCTGGGATTATAGGCTCACGCCACCATACCCAGCTAATTTCTGTATTTTTAGTAGAGATGAGGTTTCACCATGTTGGCCAGGATGGTCTCCATCTCTTAACCTGGTGATCCATCTGCCTTGGCCTCCAAAGTGTTGAGATTACAGGCATGAGCCACTGTGCCTGGCCCATGTTCTCTCATTTATTTTTATTTTTATTATTTTTTAATAGAGACGAGGTTTCACCATGTTGGTCAGGCTGGTCTCAAACTCCTGACCTCGTGGTCTGCCCACCTTGGCCTCCCAAAGTGCTGAGATTACAGGCGTGAGCCACCCCCCCGGCCGTTCTCTCGTTTAAAATATATTCCAACTTAATGCATTAAATGTTTTATATTTTATTGTAATTAACATATCAAATATTTTTAATGTACTTATAATAAGGTACATCAGAGTTTCTTGCAGGAAAGCCAAAATATCTGTTAGGTCCTTTCCCTTAGTTCTTTACTCCTATCTAGTAGAAATTAGTTTTTACATACATTTCATTGCTACTTAAAAACCAAATATCTTTTAACCAGATTTGAAATCAAGAAAAAGCTAAAAACAGCCAAAAAGAAAGAAAAGAAAGAAAAGAAGAAAAAGCAAGAAGAGGAGCAAGAAAAGAAAAAGCTGACACAGATTCAAGAATCTCAGGTAGGAGATTCAGTTTTCCTCTTTGTCCAAAGAATAAACCTCTGTTTTGAGAGAGAGAGAGTGAGTGTGTGTGTTTGTGTGTGTGTGTGTAAAAGGTGCGTTTACATTAATCAGCTTAAGTTTATTAGTACAAGACCTGTGACATTGTTTCATTAATCTCTGGACATATCTTGGTGTTTCACCATCAGCTGTAGTGTTTAACTCCTTAGCACTTTTTCCTTTCTTTTCCCTTTTTTTTCCTTTTCTTTCTTTTTCCCTTTCCTTCTGTTTCTTTGCCTCCTTTTTTCCTTGTCTCCTTTCTGTCCCTTCTTCCTTTTCTTCCTTCCTTCCCTTTCTTCTTTCCTTCCTTCCTTTTTTCCTTTCACAGACAGGGTCTCACAGTGTTGCTCAGGTTGGAGTACAGTGGCTATTCACTGGCATAATCATAACACATTGTGGCCTCCAACTTCTACTGTCAAGCAATCCTCCTGAGTGGCTGGGACTACAAGCATATGCCACTGTGCCTGGCTTTCACCGAAGTCTGCATTTAAAAAGCAGCCCTCAGCTGCAATGACTTACATCTGTAATCCAGGCAGGCAGATCACTCAAGGCAAGGAATTTGAGACCAGTCTGGCCAACATTGCGAAACCCCGTTTGTACTAAAAATACAAAAATTAGCCAGGCATTGTGGCTGATGCCATTAATCCCAGCTACTGGGGAGGCTGAGGCACAAGAATTATTTGAACCTCAGAGGTGGAGGTTGCAGTGAGCTGAGATTGTGTGATGGCACTCCAGCGTGGGCAGAAGAGTGAGGCTCTGTTTAAAACAAAAAAATAGCCCACTAGTGTTTGAGCATCCCTTAGGGAAAAGTTGGTAAACAACCTGTCCTAGGTAGCCAGATGCTTATGATATTTACTTAGATGTATATCATCCTAGACTTGGTATAAATATATCTGGGAAAATAATCTCTGTGTTTATCATTTAAAACTTTTTTGATAATATCAACAGATACTAGCTATGTTCTAGCGTTCTCTTCCAGAAAGAGTTTATTCGGATAATTCTTGAACTTGATTTTAGGCATTTTAGACAGGGCCTCTTTACTGCTGTATTCTCTTTGTCCACAAGAGGATGCTCTCTCTCCTTACACTACAAGCTGTAAGTTTCTGCAGCCCATATAGATTGACGTTGGAGGACTAAATGAATGAAGTGTTGGATTTAGAGAATCTTATCAGCTGTCGGTAAAAAGGGCCATCCTATATATCCGTTCCTTCCTAGGTAACATCCCACAACAAGGAACGGCGTTCCAAGCGGGATGAAAAATTAGATAAGAAATCTCAAGCCATGGAGGAGCTAAAAGCAGAGCGAGAAAAACGAAAGAACAGAACAGGTAAGTGGGGGAAATGTAATGGTTACTTTGTGTCTTTGATCATAGGATTTGACTTCTTGGTGTCTTTGTTTTCTTTTTGAGACGGAGTCTCACTCTGTTGTCGAGGCTGGAGCACAATGGCACCATCTCGACTCATTGCAACCTCCACCTCCTGGGTTCAAGCGATTCTTCTGCCTCAGACTCCTGAGTAGCTGGGACTATAGGCATGCGACACCATGCTCGGCTAATTTTTGTATTTTTTTTTTTTAAGATGGGGTTTCACCATGTTGATTAGCCTGGTCTTGAACTCCCGACCTCAGGTGATCCGCCCACCTTAGCCTCCAAAGTGCTTGGATTACAAGCGTGAGCCACCACGCCCGCCCTAATTTCTGTATTTTTAGTAGAGATTTGGAGTTTCACCATATTGGCCAGGCTGGTCTTGAACTCCTGACCTCATGATCTGCCCACCTCGGCCTCCCAAAGTGCTGGGATTATAGGTGTGAGCCACCGCACCCAGCCTTTTTTT